TCCATGACTGATGTCCATCCATCTGTGGGAAGCTAAAATGGCAGCTAGACCCAACTGCACAGTGCTGGTCAGAACACCACAAAAAGAACCCTCTAAAGAATTAGGTGGAGCAGGGCAGGTGAAATCAAAATAGCTCCAACAGCACGATGCCACAAAGAACACCCCCCTTCCCCAAATCTTACGACAGGTGCCACCAGTGGGCTCTTCTAGGGCCCTGGGGCCCCAATAATTGCCCAATGATGCCACACACTGACCTGGTCCCTATTCACCTGTCCCATCGCTCGTTGTTGAAGGCTGTTCTCTGTTTGGCCTGCTGTCCATTGTATGCGGCAATATTTAACAGAGGCGGTCTGAGGACCAAGCTCTGTGTGATACGTTAGATGAGTGATGGAATCCACACCCTCCATATATTTTCTTTCCCTAAAAGCAACAGTGCTGTGGTCCAATACAGATTGGTGCTCTGGTGTGCGGTGGGGTGTGTTTTGACTCTACCCCCCGCCCCACCCCAGGATGGTATGGTAATGTATTTATTTACAGAATGTATTTATGCGCCACAATTTAATTAAAACAATCAAAGCAGTTTACAAAAATCAGAGTACAGCAGAGAATGCGCACGGGTCGCCAGCTGACCGTTAATGGAAAATGTTATCTTAGTTGTCTGCATAAGCCTGGCAGTAAGGAAAATGTCCTCCTCCCCACTGCCAGCTGCAGAGGGAAAATATGTAGGCACAATTAGGGCTGCCATACGTCCGGAATCTCCTGGACATATCTGGGATATCGGAAATAGCACCCAGGCGGAATTTCTGAAGATTGGTTAAAATGTCCCGGAAAATGTATTGCAACCCATGTTGGAAGTGTTGATTTTGGGGCAAATCCCCGCCCCCTCCGCAAAGCTCAAAAACTATTTTTTGAAGATTTTCCAACAACTTTTGTATCCGGATTTTCACTTTTTGAAACATGGCAACCTTGACATAATACATGTGAGCCACAGTTCATATTCTGTCTCTTCGGTGATTGAACTTCTAAAAGCTGAGGGGGACGGGGAAGACGTGAGACCTTTCAGGTCCTGGGCTCCACCGCCTAGGGCTGAAGTATAGAAGATATTCCAGGATAATACTTCTCTTGAGGATGAAAAACAAACTTTCCTAGCACCCAGACAGTGACATTTTTATTTTATTTTATTGTTGCTGGGAACATGTCCTTCCACCCCCATGATTGCATTTCAATGCAGTAATGGGTGCTGTCTAAAATGGGATTACAAGAGCATTATTATGGGCAGGTGTTGGCTTGCATGTGTCCATGGGCATTGCTAATGACAAGTGACTATCCAATTTTGTCATCTTTTTGTGTGTGTGTGTGTGTGTGTGTGTGTGTGTGTGTGTAGATCTATATTAATGCTGTAGGCAGCCTTCTGCTCTATAACTTGTGTCAGGAATACTTTTTAAGTGGCATTAATGGTGTTATAGATTTGGGGGAGGGTCCTAAACCCTAGAAATTAATAAATGGTAGGATTTTGATTATTTGGGATGTGAAAGGAGAGATACAAGCTTCAGAGGAATTCCATGGCTAGCCAAGGAAAATGACCTGGCCAAGCTAGGGCCATTAAGAAACAATACAGGGCCAGCGAGAGTCATTGGCAATGCAAAAGAACTGTCCTCTCCTCTTGCTCTGAGGTGTGAACAGAGACTGGGGGTTTGGAAACCTGCCAGGTAATTGTGTGATTGAGGTGACAGGAAAAGGGAGGTGTTTTTTATTAGCAAGGAGGAGAAAGACAGACCGGGATCCATCTTGGGCAGGCTGGCTGAAGGCTAGCTGGGAGAGATGCCTTGGACTCCAGTGCTGTACTGCTGTGGGGGAACAAGCCCCACTTGAGATGATCATGCTGTAAGATCTGGACTCCCTCCATGCAGACTTAAGGTGTCAATAGGAGAATAAACAATATTTATTACAAACTATGATGTTCTCCACTGTGTCTTGATTATCCAAAGGAACACAGACCCTGGGTGAGTGCCTGGAACCCTCTGAGATCTTGCTATTGCTTGACAGAGTGTGGGGGTGGCACCCGACTTGTAACAATACTAGCATAGCTACCCGTGTTCATGTCATAAAGCCCTGCTATTTTATCCTTTTGTCTAGTCCTTAGGAGTCTGCCTGTTCCCACTTCCACATCTCTAGAGTTCACATCTGCCATGATTTTGCCTTTTCCGTTTTTAATCCTCTTACACCTTCGGACCACAGAGTAGTACCCGAAAATGTGAAACGGCCAGTTTCATATAACCTTCTGATTAAAGTGTTTAGATCATAGGAGCTATTATAGTGGAAATAAGGGGGTGTATTCAATGTAGTTCTGTGTAGATTAGTGCAAGATTTTCTCCCTGTGCAACAAGGGAGATCTCCTCCAGGATGCCCTTAACCCTGTTCTGGGCATTCCTTCCACCCTCCAGGAGTATATGATGCTTTCTAGGTCAAAAAAGGCAGAGGGGTTTTGACAGCAAACTAACAACACTATGAAGCGCAGCAGGAGGACCTAATTCAGAGTGCACAGAAAAGCTAGATTCTTCCTCTTTCTTACAGTGTGCTTTAGAGAAGAGTTGAGTCAAAAACATTTGCCCGTCCCTTTTGTCCAGAGAAGGAGGGCAGCACAGTGCAATAGTTAGCAGTGTGTGTATTTGCTGCCAGAAAGTGTTACCGTTAGAGGGGTCCGGGAGGGATGACTGGGAGTCCACTGGGGAACCGATGGGCCAATACACCTCTCCCAGTGGCGGACTCTGCGGGGTTGTGGCACCCGATCTATGTTGGGGTGACTCCCCAATGCAGGTTGACCCAGCAGGCAGGCTGCCGGATGCTGGATACACACCCAGTGCCTTAGCCAAACCTACACTTTCCGGTAATCGGTAAAGTTGTGGCCTAATTCAACCCAATACCTGTCTCCTGTGTTCATTCTTGTGGCCCTCCCTGCACCTGCTGCAGCCATTATGCGCCTGTGCCGGCAATAACTTTTGCCCAGGAAAGAAAACCTACAACACAAGTGGTAACTTGCGCCTTCTCTGCCCTAGTGCATTGTATCAATAGCTGTTCCCTAGAAGACTTCACGAGGCTCTTAGCCGGCTGTGAGGCAGTAATAGCACCTTACAGAAATAACTTGCTAATTAAAGAACAGAAGAGAGAGGAAGACCTAGGTGGGGCCAAGCTTTTTTGGCAAAGCATTAATAACTCTTAACATCAACATCACTCAGCATATAGAGGTGTACATACACAGGTGGCTGTTTTTCTTTCCTCCTGTTACACAAGGCACTAATCCCTTTGCTTCTGGCTTTCTGCTGCTGATACAAAGGTGAGGGCTGTGAGCGGCTGCCGCAGGAAGAACGCTGGGGCAGAAAAACCCAGACCATTCTTGACTTACTGTTCTCTATATTATCCTCTGGCCTTGCTGAAACAGAAATCTCTCCTTGCTGATTTTATATTATTATTATTAGTAGTACAGTGAAACTCTCTTGCTCTTTTCTGCAGCTTTTTAACATGACTCAGTGCTGCTGCTATTATATTTGGTTTCTGATGCTTATTGATTCACTTGCTGGTTTTTTTAAAAGGCTGGACTGTGGTTTTATGTGTTAGATTTGTTTGCCGCCTTCTGAATTGCCGTGTTTAAGAGGCAGAGCATGAATATTTAAAAAAATAAAATGGGGGGGGGGAATTCCCCTCCCGAATCGGGGCAGAAGGCAATAAGATAAAAAGTAAAGTGGTACCTGTTGAATGGTTTCTTTAAATATTAAGGTACATTATTGTTTCATTATGTGTATCTCTTCAAAGGCCAGAGCAAATATCATGACCTAGTTTTACAGCTGTGAAGCAGTATAGCAGGTGCTGTTAAGTTGTGTTAATTAAGCTGTGTCAGCAATTGGGTATAGTATATAAAGAGCAGCATGTACCTCTCTCAGTACCCTGGTGAATGGGTCATACTTATAGATGTAATGTAAGACGAGTTTTTGTTTTTGCAATTAAAGCCAAGCAAAAGTTATTTTTGCGTTTCTTCATTGTTTACTGAACGTGTGGTCTCCCCAGCATGCTTTCTGCAGCGCAATTAATCTGCTAAATACACCACAGTACCTTGGTTTAAGAACAGCTTAGTTTATGAACAATTTGGATTAAGAAGGCTGCAAACCCAGAAGTAGGTGTTTTGGTTTGTGAACTTTGCCTTGGAAGCAGAACATGTTCCGCTTCCTGTTGAGTGTGTTCCATTTGTTCCAATTGAGTCCCCCTGCTGCTTTGGGAAAGCACGCCTTGGTTTAAGAACACTTTGGTTTAAGAATGGACTTCCACAACAGAGTAAGCCAAGGTACCACTGTACTACTAAGTAAAATCAATTTGCATGCAAGTGATATGATATAGGGAAACCCAGCCAGATGGGTGGGTATAAATAAATAAATAATAATAATAATAATAATAATAATAATAATAATTAATCACTTTTATATACTGCTGAATGCTGCCCCCCAAGCTTCTAATTGGTTTGCTAGTAAAGAAAGAAAGAAAAATGACTGGCAGAATCCGTGAGCAGGGGAAAGAGACGGTGGAAGAAGATTGGAAGAAATTTAAAATCTATCTAAAGAACTATCATAAAATTGAGGAATGTTAAAATGTCGAGGTTTGGAGAAAGAAAAGGAGATTACAGCGACATAAGATTAAGTTGAAGAAAAAAAAATAAGAAAAATATATTTGATAAAATTATTTAGAATTTGCTGAAATAATTTTGGGAATTGGGATGTAGGAAGGGGAGGTTTGGGGGAGTCCGAGAAGAGAGGGTTATGAAAAAAAGGTTATGAAACTATACATGTTTGTATGTCTTTTTATTTGTTTGTACTGTATAAAACTTGTTTGTAAAATCAATAAAAAATTATTTAAAAAAAAAAAAAAGAAAGAAAGAAAAAACCCCACCCAGCTACACAAGCATTTTAACTTGAAATATATGTTGCTGTTTTTATAAAGAAAAGTGCTCTTGGGGGTAGCTCAGTTGGTTAGAGCATGGTGCTGATAACACCCAAGATCACAGGTTCGATCTCCATATGGGACAGCTGCATATTCCAGCAGGGGGTTGGACTAGATGATCCTCAGGGTCCCTTCCAACTCTACAATTCTGTAATTTAATGATTTTGTGATTCCCTATTTCTGAAGAGACTTGGGCTCTTCTGCCTGACCTTGAAGCCTTCACCCTATGCCCTAACTACTTCACCCACAATGCAAGTAAACATAATACACCCCCTCCAATACAATGAGGTTTGGGTGGTCGTGACGATGCAATGTGTGGTAATAGATTGACCTGGGTGCCCTAACATGATGGTGGAGTGGAAAAAGCTGCAACTTGCTAGATTACTCTGGTGCTGGGGGTGGGGCAATGTTAGAAACTCATATATGCTAGGTGCCAAACGGCTCCGTAAACCAGGGCTACAGTTGCTAAAACGGAATGCCTGGTTGCCATTTTGGGGTTGGACAGCTTGAAAGTCCTATTTTTCAAAACAACTTTTTGGTTCCTGAAATTCAGTCTGATTGTGCAGTTAAAATACCATGGACAGACGTCTACAGGAAGTGTTGCTACTGTGTGAAAACAGTCAAGATCCAAGGATCCCCAGGCATGCACTTCCAAATGGTAGAGACGTCATGCGCCATTCTGGCACCCAGACATCTTCAAGTGGTCAAAAGCCAGGTGCAAAATGTGCCTGGTGAATTTCAAACACTGGATGGGGGCAGGCAGAAGGGGTTGGACAATGGGCTAGAGGCCTGAGAAGGCAGCTGATGGAGAGGGGGGGAGCGAGGAGAAGGAGTGATAAGGGCTGAAATAGGAAATGGTTCCATGGAACAGAAAGAAGAAGAGATCAAGATCCTCATGCTCTGCCAACTGTCTCCAAAATCTGCCTGGAACTGTTCTCTAATCCCCTATTAATTATTGGGGAGATTCCACCACCAGGTAAAAGACCTACTCCAAGACTCCATCACTGGCTGTGAGTGGAAGTCATTGAAGCCAATGTGGAGTGGTGCTTTCTGCAATTCTGACTGCCAAGTACTCTGCCACCATCGCTACCTCTTGACACTTGCTGAGAAGCTCCTAAATCCTACCCACCCACCAAAAATTGCCCTGAACTGTTGGCTGCCAGCGAATTGCCTCACCACCACTGCTTTTGTAGTTATGCTTACCCCCAGGACAGTTTTACAGGGCCACTTTCACTAAGACGAGAGAGTACCTGAGACTTGAAATGTTTCGGTAATCTCTTTTCACAAATTTATGGGTACAGTGGGTAGGGAGAACAGGCTGACATAATGAGCCCTGGTATAATAGGACCATACCTGGTATGATAGGCCCAGTATACCTGAAGGAACATCTCCACCCCCATCGTTCTGCCTGGACACTGAGGTCCAGCGCCGAGGGCCTTCTGGTGGTTCCCTCACCGTGAGAAGTGAGGTTACAAGGAACCAGACAGAGGGCCTTCTCGGTGGTGGCGCCCGCCCTGTGGAACACCCTCCCATCAGATGTCAAAGAAATAAACAACTATCAGACTTTTAGAAGACATCTGAAGGTAGCCCTGTTTAGGGAAGCTTTTAATATTTGATGAATTGTATCTTAATATTCTGCTGGAAGCTGCCCAGAGTGGCTGGGGAAACCCAGGCAGATGGGTGGGGTATAAATAAATTATTATTATTATTATTATTATTGTTGTTGTTGTTGTTGTTGTTGTTATACCTCACCCTGCAAGCTGATGAATATTCTTGCTGTTTCCCAAGCTGCCTTCTTGCTCACCAGCTCCAGAACTCAAAACTGTTTCCTTTGTGTCCAGAGTCAAAACTGCTCTCCACCCTCCGATCAAACCCCAAATATTTTCCCACTCAACCTAAGTGCTCTCGAATTCCTGTTAATCAGCATTAAATTTTTAGTGGCCAAGTCAGGCCAAAGCTTAAGGAAGGGTTTGAATATTCATAGGGCAAATATTGCAACCCTACACAAAAAAAGACTTGACTACTCTGTCCTCACTAAAAATGGACTGCATAGAAAAAGCCCTTTGAAATGTCCTACAGCTCCAGGGATGTTGGGGTTTGTGAAAACACACACACACACACACACACACACACACACACACACACTGTTCTCATTAAGCTTACAGTGCCATCTTGCTTGCCACTTTTCTGCAAACAGCTCTTACACATGGCTTGCCTTTGATGGAAACACTTGTACCTCCTGGGTGAAGCTTGAATTTGGCAGGGCTGATGTAGCACTATTCAGTTTCCCCAGAGTGTGGCTTGCCTGAGACGTGATTGAAATGTTACATGTGAACTACATCCTGTATTTCACAGAGGTGCAGTCAGAAGGTCAGTGTCAGGTTGACTCTCACAATGGAGAGGGAATTGCAAAATGCTTGTTGCAATGTCCCGAAAGGAAGAAGCCAAAAAGCTTGAAACCTGATTGTTGCAAGAGGTATTAGATTGCCAGGTGGATAGATTAACACTGTTGGGATTAGCTTTTGTCTGTAAGATAAGGAACCAGACAGGGTTTGGTATCTCGTTGGCACAGATACACTGCTGTACTCATGCATTTAGACCTTAGCCAGTAGGACATCCTGAAACAGAGATAAAATGAATTAGCTCCTCAAAAGTTCTCTGCAAATATTCATACTAGATTATCTCTGAATATTTTGAATAGTTGTGAAATATTAATTATTTGCATTTGACATCCACTGATACTAGATATATTATTTCAGTAATTAGGATTTGATATCCATTGACATTTAGTATTTAAAAGATGGCATACAATGTTATTTTAGTGTTTGGCAACTGGCGGTTTATGGATTTTCATATTTGATGCCTGCCTAGATTAAAATATGAAGAGATGTCAGCTAATCTAAAGCACTCAAAATTTGGGATTTTGAACGATTTAACACTCACAATGTGACTTTGAATTTTTTTATGTGGAAATCAGCTTTTAGTGAAAGCCTAAATCTAACCAGGTAAGATGAGTTTGAATGCAAATGACTGGGATTTGAACTACATGGGAGCTAAAAGATAGCATATTAGGCAAAACGGGAGAGTTAGTGATCTGAGGAAGAATTAGAGATATGAGGAAGAAGTGAAACACTAATTACTTGTTTCAGGGAAGGGAGAATAAAGAGAAGCAGTTTCCTGGTTCACTGTGACTGATGGGGGTGAGGCCACAGCTAAGTCTGGGGATTCTTGGTAGAAAGTCAATGGCAGGTTCTTTACAAAGAGGTGGGCAGAATTTGCCTGTTTCCTCTACCTTCCAAGATGATTCCACATAAGCTCAGGGTGGGGTGGGGTGACCAAAGGTAGGCTTGCCTTCATAGGGAGCCCCAGAGCTAAAGTGTGAACCCCACCCTGGGTTCCTTAAAGGTAAAGGTAAAGGAGCCCCTGACCATTAGGTCCAGTTGCGGACGACTCTGGAGTTGCGGCGCTCATCTCGCTTTATTGGCTGAGGGAGCTGGCGTACAGCTTCCGGGTCATGTGGCCAGCATGACTAAGCCGCTTCTGGCGAACCAGAGCAGCGCACGGAAACGCTGTTTACCTTCCTGCTGGAGTGGTACCTATTTATCTACTTGCACTTTGACGTGCTTTCGAACTGCTAGGTTGGCAGGAGCAGGGACCGAGCAACGGGAGCTCACCCCATCACAGGGATTCGAACCACTGACCTTCTGATTGGCTAGTTCTAGGCTCTGTGGTTTAGACCACAGCGCCACCCGCGTCCTAATTAACTCAACTACTGAATCATTAACAGACCTCCTTCCATGTAGTGGCAGGATCATCATGAACTGTCACTTAAGGAAATTGCACTGAGAACTATTCAGAAATGGCACCTTATTCCTCTACACCTAGAGCATATTAATTAAATTCATACCTCAGGGTGTTGGAGGGGGTGCAAAGTTAGGAAATCTTCTAGCACAGGGATGTCCAACTGGTCAGTCGTGATTACCGATCGATCACAGGGTGTCTGTGGTCGATCATGGTCGATTGTGGGATCCTGATTGATCACCCCCCCCAAAAAAAAACAACTTTGGTGAAGCCTTCCCCCCCCCCCAAAGCTCAACAATTCT